GGTTTGTTTCAAAAAGCCCCATTTAAACCAGCTATTTGCTGAACTGGGCTACCCTGTCTAAATATTCGTAAATAGACAAATAAATAAACGTGACTATGAAATCATTCTCCAAACGGCGATGAAACATAAAGCTTAAAGATAAAAACACAGGCAGCCCAAGCTCACTACTAGAAAAGCGGACGTGACTCTTACCGTGTTGCGCAACGTTTTATATTTATAGAGGTTTGTATGGGATGTTATCGGTTTGCCTTAAAAGAGAGAAAAAATGTCTTGTTTTGAAATAAAATGGGCTTACCTTATTGCCTTGTTGTTTTCTTTGTCGATTCCTAGCGTCTCAGGCCATTTTGAAGCGTTTTCGGCGAGTTAGCGCTATGTTGGTGTTCAACTGCTAGAAGAAAGACAAGGCCGGAAACCTATTTTAGAAGTGTCCGTCGCCCGAAGCGAAAAATTCCGCCAAAAAATCACCACCAGTCTCGATTCCTCCAGAAAATCAAAGCAGAGATGTTGCAGTTCCATTTCCATTCACTCGATTCCCAACTCCTCCCACAGATCTTTCACTAGCGATGCTTTTATCTTCAGATCGATCGGCTTTCCAATTTCGAATTTGGCTGGTTGATACATTTGTGGGCCCATTAGCCGATTGCACAGTATGTTGGGTAGCAAAAATAAGCCCGTCGAGGGTAGCGAGCGACCTGCGGTCGACAAACAAACCAGTTAGCTCCCCTGGTCCCCTCAAGAGGTTTTGTCAAGACGGCATTGTTTTGATCGACCAATCAACATCGAATGGAAAGGTAATAAGGCAATAAGGTAAGCCCATTTTATTTCAAAACAAGACATATTTTCTCTCTTTTAAGGCAAACCGATAACATCCCATACAAACCTTTATAAATATAAAACGTTGCGCAACACGGTAAGAGTCACGTCCGCTTTTGTAGTAGTGAGCTTGGGCTGCCTGTGATAAAAACGGCAGTTCTCTGTATTTTAAGGGATATATATCGATTTTAAGACTTGTCAGTTTCATCCGGGTTTCCTATCAATTTAGGATTGGAAATAGCATCTGCACCAGGAATGGCGACCTCTTCACCCTCACCACTGGCAAGCTCTGTGGAGAAGACAAACGGAGCCAAGCTCAGCAGACTTCTTATTGATGGCGGGACAACGGTTCTGAGGAACGTTTTTGATCGTTATCACGCGCCGACAAGCCTTGCTTCTAATCTCAATTCTCACTTTAAAACTCTTTGTACTCTTTTGCGAAGAAATATCCTAAAAAGGCCGCAATGGGAAAAACTCTTCCCACCGTCAGGGGCTGCTCCAGACTCCAGATTATTTGACATTACTTTGTTATTCCTTCTTCTAACTGAGATTTGTGGTCTAGCCCCTCCATCCTCGGGGTGGCATTCTAAGCCACCCTCAAGTGATAATTCCTTTGAAGCAAACCTTGTTCGCATCAAGTTTTACCGCAATGAGTTGTATGGTCATGTCAAATCTACCAGTGTTGATGAGTCAACTTTTAACAACCTTTGGCAGGAGATAAGTTCTGTTCTCGTTGCTCTTGGACTGAATAATGCGGAGATAGATAGATTGAAAGATGAACAATGTGGAGAGCAAGAGTATATTGATGCACTTCTACACTGGGCCGACAGTGAAGAGGATGTCAAATCACAGCTAGGAGACATCAGACGTAACCAGATCGAAACCCAAGGGATCTTGTCAAAGGTAGTTCAGACCCAACACGATTGCGGCAAAGTGCTTGAGGAAAACAAGTCAAAACTACATGAACTGGAAGAAAGCCAAGCTAAAACTTGTGAAGTTGTCCAAGAAAGACACGAAACATTAAAAACAGATTTTCAAGAATTCAAGCGGCAGCTGGAGCAGTTAGAAAAAAAGCAACAGAGAGAAAGATCGGATGAAATTCTTAAGAATCTAATGAAAGCAGAGTTTAAAGGAGAAATCGAACATCATGCAGAAAAATTCCAAGAAGGTACACGCGAGTGGATCTTTAGGCAAGTCGAAGAATGGCTAGACGAAAGAAATTGCCCAAACCGAGTAATGGTTCTCAGTGGAAATGCTGGAATGGGAAAGTCCGTGATATCTGCCGTCCTTTGCAAACGAATGCAGGAAATGGGGCGCCTGTCAGGGAGCCACTTTTGTCAACATAACAATGTGCGCTACAGAAAACCTCAACTGATGCTTCAATCTTTAGCTTTTCATTTGACTCATACTCTACCAGAATACAAAGAAGCCCTCGTGAACCAGCTATCAAGAAATCTGGGGCTGGAGCTCAACACCATGGGCGTTGAGGAATTATTTTCACTGCTTTTCAGAGAGCCTCTAAGTAATGTCAGTGATCCCGAAAGCAGCATCCTGATTGTAATAGATGGTCTGGATGAAAGTGAATATCAGGGACGCAATGAACTGCTCAATATGGTCGCCAAACAGTTTTGTAAGCTGCCAAGATGGATTCGTTTTTTTGTTACAACTCGACCTGAGATAAACATTTCAGACAGCCTGAAACATCTAGAGCCCATCCAGATTGACGAAAACCAGGAAGAAAACTCAAGAGACATTAAGCATTTCTTTCAAATGAGTCTAGGGTTTCAAATCGAGGAGGAGCGTAAAGTGGCTTTTTTAAAGAAACTGGTTGATAAATCAGAAGGCGTCTTTCTCTATGCTTATTTCCTTGTGAATTTTATGAATGAGAACGCTTCTGTTTTAACTCTGGATCAGCTGGAAAGTATTTTACCGTTAGGCATTGCATCTGTTTATCTCTCCAATTTTAAGCGGTTAGAGAATGACCTTTGTAAAGAGCTAAAGATAGAAGAGGAGGAAGTCTTGCGATTTGTGTCTGCATTAAGTGCTTCCAGAGAACCCCTACCGATTGAATTTGCTTCAAGAATCTTAGTCCCCGGAGACATTTCTTTGGTTGTTCGGCGACGAGTTGTCAAGGCAATTGCATGCGTATCCAGCCTTCTCCCAGTTCGGGATGGTCGCCTTCACTTCTTTCACAAGTCGATAAAGGACTGGTTGACCAGTACACCAGGCTATGGTGAACATGATTTCACTGTGGATGAGAGGGTAGGTCACGCGATCCTCTTCCGACTTTGTTCAACTGAGCTGGAGTGTCTCAAGCAAAAAGGGCTTTTTAATCTTAAATTTAGCAAAATGGAGGAGTACGCATTGCAACATTGTATCCAGCACACGATTGACTCGAAGGAATTGAGTGAGATGTCAGCGTCGTGCAAATTGGAAGAGTTTATCAATAGTTACGTTATTGATCTTGGGATCATTTATGCCAAATTTTGTGTCAATACGGTGACTCCGACCACTGATCTTTTAGCTGTTAGGAAACACTTTCAAAGAACTGTGCTCGACGAAAGGAGCTGTTTCCTTCTAGATGCTCTGTGGAAAGTGCTCAAGAAACACCTGTACATTCTGAAAGACCACCCTCATCTTTTGTTTCAATGTATTGTTAATGGAGGATGTCCAAAAGAGCTGACCTCAAGAGCAGAACAGATTCTTGAAAGTGAGAAAACAATTCCATACATGAAATTGTTGTTCGAAGAAGATGAAGAAGAAAGAAGTGATGCAGATCAAACCAGATTTCAGTGTTCCGACAAAGTGGTATGTTTTGACGTGTCACCTGAAAAGGACTACATGGTTTGCGAGTGTCGAGACGGAGAAATTTACTTGTGGAGTCTAGAAACGGGTAATCTACTGTGGATTCGCCGCGCTCTGAGATTAAAAGATTTTTATTTTGGTAGGCCTTTTGATTGTGGTTATCGTCAGGTCGGAAGATGTTTATCTTTCTTCAACTCTGTTGTTTTTCATCCAAATGGCTCATGGATATTACCTGGCACCCTGGCAAATGTATACGATCTTAGAGGAGACAAGATTGATCTTTTCCCCAACACCAAATGTACATTCTCGCATTGTGTTTTCTCTGAAGACAAGACAATTATGGTCACAGATTGCCCAGAGGAGCCAAAGCAAATTGCAGTATGGAGTATGCAGAATGGTGACGAAGTAAACCGTATTGAGTGGACAGAACCCATTGCATCTTTCACTATTTCTCCTGATGGAAGGCTAATTGCCATCTCTAGTTATGACGGACCTTGTAGCACTGGCTCTATTTATATTATTGATGCTGAGAATCGCCGTCGCTTGGATTTGATCAAGCCATTCAATGATTTCGATGTGTGTGGATTGATGCATTTTACGTCTGATAGTACCACCCTTGCCTGTGGTCTCATTTCTTTGAACTCGGCGATCCTCGAAATTTCTTGGGAGTTTATGTTCACTAGAAGACCACGGTTTTACCTTTTGACTTTAACTGGTTTAGTTGATCAGTCTACTTCATCAGAAAGTAATGAAATTGCATGTAAATCGGGAACATTCGTGTTGTGGCCTACAGAATCCCATTTAACGAGGGAAGATGACTATCTGGAGCAGAAACTGACTTCTTGCTGGGTACGAGGTTTGCCTAAGGTTTTTCCGTTCCTTCTGACAGGAACGTACATTAGGCTTACTGATAACATAGTTTTGATTGGAAGCCCAAGTTATAACTATCTGGCGACAGTTAACACTAATGTACTAGATAATGCGGCAATTCCTTGTTCGTACGACGGTGAGCTTAGTGAGTTTGATTTGTCAAATCGTGATGGGAGGGTCATGAAAGTCGAAATGTCAGTTGCAGGTGATGCCATTTATTCCATCATTTTACCTTATTGGAAACCCCACCTTACTCAAGTAACTGTGTTCAGAATGACAAGTTTGAAAATCCTAGCCAAAAAGATATTCCCGCGAATGGTTTCTCTCATTCCTATGAAAGACGGCATCATAATAAGTCTCGAAGAAAGGAAGCCAGAGCTGTGGAACTTTGAGTTGTCTGAGTTCATTCGTTTTCTTCCAACACTAACAGGCAATGAAGAGCTTGTTCCCATCTCACAAGAAGTAGTGGCATGTCGAAGAAAACAAAATATTGTAGCGTTAAACTACTCATGTCGATCTTCCATTGATATTTTAGAACTAGACGATCGCTCAGCATCTTCCATACCATTTCCCTTTTCTCTTTTTGAAAGTAGGACGGACATTTTTTATTCGGAAAACAAGGATTACCATTGTGAGGTTGGTTTAGAACCGATGGTTTTGAGATTTCTGAATGTGTCCAATGGAGAACTTGCTTCTTCTTTCACGATTTTGGGTCCCGGAGATGCATATATAGATGCAGTCTCGTTTAACAGCCAGGGCCAGATTTTAGTCTGTACCTTCGAGACCATTCCTGCTGAACACACATTTTGGGAAGACGAGTTGATCACTGCCACTTTTTGGAACTACGACACTATCGTGTGGAGGAAAAGCACGGTGTGTCGTGACCAATTACCACGGCCACAATTCGTATTTTCACCAAGAGACGACGTTGTTGCTTCGTGGAACTTTCTTGAGGGGGGTTTTGGCCTACACATTCTTGACGCAGATTTTGGAGAAATAACAAAAACTTTTTTGAAAGACCGCTGTGACATTGCTGACTCCAAGTTTGTTAACGAGGAATCTCTACTGGTATGCTTCGTCCATGATACCTTTCTTCGATTGTTTAATGTTAGAACAGGGAACCTTGTGAGTGTGCTGGATCTCGGAGAACGGCCTGTCTGCATAGGAGCATGCGTGGAGAGTTCACTCGTAGCCATTGGTTTGGAGAACAGAATGAAATTCCTTCATTTTAGGTTACCAAAGAGGGAAGTAGCAACAAAGAAGAAAAGTGAGAAATGTTGAACTAAAACTGTTTTGGCGTAATTTGTGTTTGCTTTAATCTATCAGAGACACCCCTGACATGCACCACGTTGTACCGACTAGATAATATGTTGGATGGTTTGAAAGGTTGACCGCAATAATGGGGAAACGACAAGTAGTTGTGTTATCAATTTTTTGGAGGAAATTTATCACAGTTTCTTTGTTGCTTCAGGTACATCTGACGAAAACAACTGAATCCGCTACCTTTTGGCAACGTAAGAATAACTTGATGATCCAGTGATTATTAAATACGCTTGTAGTTATCTCGTAAGAAGAGGAGAAGCACCTATGGATTTTACAATGAAACCTTGGAACCAGTATCATAACGAAAAGCACGAAAAACTTCAGTTCTGTTATCGTCACAGAAAGCGTTTTATCTTCTGCCGTCGCGGCTACAAAACTCGTTTGAAGAGAAAAACCTGGTACACTAAATCTACTATGTATCCCTAAGGTTGGAAAACCGATTATTGTAAACTTTGAATTTAAAAAAAATCGTGGAAAGGACAGCGGAACTAAACAGATTAATGAGACATTTTTTAAGCCGAAGATAACTGAGGATTTAAACAAAAGTCTCAGATGAAATCGTGCATGAAGGGCTACATTTTGCATCCCCATTCCAAGTGAAGAACCTCGAGGAAAAAGACAATCAAGTTTACAACCGTAAAATTCCTTTGTTTCCGCGCAGAAGCTTAGGGCCAGGACGCACTTCAGTCAACAAAGTGGTAAAAAAATTGCTTGCGCAACAATATTCGAAAATTTTAAACCGTGAAAGGAAGTGCCAAAATCTGAGAACATTTTTTAGGGTCGCAGTACCATTATACAAAACACTGATCAGATTTCAAATCTCCTGCGTATGTTTTGACAAATGTGTAATAAATATGAATCCCAATCAGGCCTTTTTATCACTTTTGCCGTTTTGATACTAAAAATTATCAACATTTAACAGCTGCAGCAAATGTTTGCCTTTTCATCCTGTATTGGGGATGGGTAAATGAATACAGGGAAATCCTAAAAATCGCTTTTGTATAAATAAAACGACGACATTTTTGCAGAATCCGCAGTGTTGGGCGGCACACGTGCACTATTCCTCCCCACCCAAATCTTGGTTTAATTAATTCACTATGAAGACCCGTCAATTTCATAGGATTACCAAGGATAAACAAGAACACTATTGAAACAGTACTAAATCTCCTGGGCCCGATATAAGAGAAACGCACTCACTGTTCATGAACTGTTTACCACGATAGAAATTCCTTGTTTTGAAACTGCACCGTTTGGTCCATCCGTGCTAAGAGAGAGCGTATGATTACAAATTTACCTCCAATCAGAGACTAGCTTAAGTCGACTAGCACTGACAGCTCCAGAAACGGCTTCTATTTTCCTCGAGATTTTCCAAATCGGCTAGCCATACCCATACATTACGGCGTCTTAAATGTTTTGCCAGAATTTTCCAACTATTTTTTCAATTTTGTGAAAGGCCGGAGGCATTAGGATCATATGATGTGACGACAGGTTTTTGTGACACAAATTTAACTAAAGTTTCTCAAGTACGATCTAGCACGTTGTCAGCCAAGTGCGTAACGGGCCCTAATAATTACCATGCACACTTGTCTTACTTGACTAATGCCAATTTGTTTTTGGAAAATATGCAAAAAATTTTTTTAGTTCGTAGTTCGGTTCACTTCAGTTTCGATTCAGTTTTCAAATTGACACTTGATATTGTCGGAACGCCACTAAATTGTTAAAATCGGCGGAAAGATTTGTAATATGCACCCATGCATTCAGCAATGATTGAAATAGCAAACAAAGGGAAAGGTATGATGTACTAGAATCAGTGAGTTAACTTACAGGAAATACTGGTTACACAAGCAATCAAAAGGTAACGCGTTTTTCTATGTGTGTGATAAGTCTTCAGTTCTCTCGAATGGTGTCTCTTTATGAATTATTCTTCGAGTATCTGGTACGCAAGCCATGATTAAAGTCAACAGGATACAGGTCTAGCCCAGTAAACATAAGTTTTCCTCAGTGATGTCTTAAGTCCGCCAAAAGGTTATTCATCAACCTGGACGTCGGTGTTCTTTGATAAGTAAGAGAATTTCTACAAGCCAACTGTTCTCTATAATATAACAAGTCTTCTTGCTCTTTTATGGGTTTAAATTGGAAGAGACAGTATTTAACTACGGCCGGAAGAATTACAAATTGATCTCGCAATTTTAGGTCGAGGAGCCATCTACATTTTTATTTTGACATTGTTCATTGTGCAATCGCAAGACAGTGTTAACCTATACCTGGAGGTAGTTGGAAAAAACCGTAGCTTTAAGACGACTCTATTCCACTGAAATATTTGCCAAATCGTAAGAGCTAGAAAACCTGCTCGTTTAAAACCAAGCGAGTATTGTCTATAGTTATTATATATTGGCGATATTGCTTGAGTAGCGTCGTGTGACATAAAGCGACTTCAGTTTACTCCATCATCGCGCATTGAAACGAATATTGACGTGTCTGTGAAGTGAGGCTCGAAATTAATGCAATGCGTTAGACAATGCAGAAAAACGTTTCAAAAGAAATGCGATATATAGCTTTACTTACACCTATAAATGAGTGCATAAATGTAGATAAAAAAGGAAGGCGGGAGAGGTTGTGACTCAGTACTGAAAAAATCTTGATAGAAAATTAAAAGAGTGCTAGAGCTGTGAGGGAAATTATGAATGCTGCTTATTAATTTAAATTGAGGCTGACTGCTATTATGACTAAAATATCATCGATGCAAAGTACAAGATAAAGAAGAGAAACTGGTTTTAACAATCAAAACATCATCTTCTGTAAATAGAATTCATTCCAAAGCGGCAAAGGTCAAAATATCATTTCCCACCAGGATTTGTCCGTCGACAACTACAGTATCAATTATAATGTAAACAAACGTAATGCTGTAAGACCTGTGAGGTGCGTTTTCTCTTTCAAAACGGTGTTCTGCAAGCCACAAAAATCGCCCTAAAATCCAATCCCACATTAAAACTGAAACAAAATTAGATAGTAAGTAAACCACGTACGAACCCATCAAGACCAAAACTTTGCACTGCTAAATTTAGGACATCTTAGATCTCCTTAGCCAGCCACGGAGTACTAGGGCATGAACCAAGTTCAAGTTCATAAAACTGAAAAACCAAATACGAAAACAAGGAAATGCGGAAAACCGCAAAAGGAGAACTGAAGATGTTTCGTTCTTAACGCAGGAAACAGATCCAAAAGTGACCGAAACCGCAAAACAACAACTTCAACGTTCCCCATTTTCTCTTTTCACCAAAAAATTGCGATCTCGAGATTTAGAAAAGGGAGCGTTTCGGTTTAAATTTTACCTTGCAGCGAAAATATAGAAACTTTAAATTCAAATTCGTTGGACTGTTCTTTTGAAGGTGGAATCTAGAAAGGATCCAGACACTACGTAAGTGGGAGGAACCAATAAAACAAGGAAACTCTCTTAGGACCCACTATTATGTATCATGTACATATCAAATCATTTTCATGCTCTTTAGAATTGTTGCTTTCCACTCGTGTCGCAAATTGAAGATTTTTATCTATACTTTTGTGATATTTGTGATGTGTGGACGAAACGTTGCTACTTGTTGCTTAGGATTCTGAGGAGAAAATTTGTACAGCGTTACAAAACAAAGGGGTAATGTAAGGTGGTCATTGCTGAAAGCAGCATTTATAACACCTTGACATATTTCCAAACTTCGTTCATCAATTTAGCTTTTTTGCATTCAAATGTTATTGACAGTACTTTAAACACCCCAGAATGCATAATGACAATTTTTAACAACCTAGCGAACGTTATGACCGAGCACGTAATTAATTTCTTTAACTATAGTTCTCGTGTTAAGAGCATTTCGTGACATATATTTATGACCATCATGACAGGACGGAAAATGCGTGCACTGCAAGTACCTTCCGTTGTCCCCTTACAAAGCCTTAGAAAACTTTTCTAAGGCTTCGTATGGGACAACGGGAGTTACTTACATTGCACGCATTTTCCGTCCTGTCAGGACAGATAGGTTTAGATACGTTCATCCAGTTTATCAGGTAACGATAACATTGTTAGAGTTGATTATAATTTACCCTTTCCGTCCCAATTGTGCTTTTTATGGAGATTTCAAGCCCTGAAGTAGACTAAGAGATGGCAGCTGTTGCACCATCATCCCTGGTCAGCTCTAAAGAGACGACAAGTGGAAGCAAACTTAGCAGACTTATAATCGATGGTGGAACAACAGTATTACGAAAGATTTTCGACACTTCAATCACCCTCCTTTACAGCTATCTGCAGGTCTCAGTGCTAACTATTCACTCCTGAGTAATTTGTTAAAGAAAAAGGTCTTGAGAGTTGCTCCGTGGGACCAATTGTTCCCACACGGGGGAGCTACACCAGATTCCAAAACCTTTGACGTTACTCTTCGCTTTCTTCTTCTAACTAATTAATATATGCGGACTATCCCCTCCCCTACTTGGATGGCATGCCAAGCCTTCTCCCGGTGACACCTCTCTTGAAGCGAACCTTGTTCGAGTGAAGCTCTTCCGAAATAAACTGTATGATCACGTGTTCATGACTAGTATTGACACGCTCACTTTCTCCTCTCTGTGGCATGATATTAATGTTGTGCTTGTTACTCTTGGTTTGAATCAGGCAGAGGTGGATCGATTAAAGGGAGAAAATTGTGGAGAGGAGGAATATCTTGACCTGTTACTCAAATGGTGTGAAAGTGAAGAAGAAATCAAGTCGCAGTTGAATGACATTCATCACTCGCAAACTGGAGTGCAACAAAGTACTGAAGATATGCGTCAGACTCAGCTTAAAGGTCACCCGATACTTCAGGATTGCAACATTAAACTTGACGAGATATACAATTTCCGGTATGAAGAAGGAACGAATGAAAGAACAGCGACATTGCCTCGAAGAACTGTGTCAAATTCAAATTAAAGACCATAGAACATTAACGGAAAGTAAGATCAGACTCGACGAGATGTCTCAATTACAAACAAAATTAGAGCAATGTGTCAAAGTGCTACATGAGACGCAGTTGGAAAACTTTAAAGTACTCGAAGATAACACAGTCAGATTGAGAGAGGTACATCAGACTCAAATGAAACAAAGGAACCTATCCATAAATTGCATCAGTTGCATCAAGAAGATTACAAAGCAGCTGACGAGACAAAATCCAAACTCGAGAAGGTCCTTCGAAATCAAGAAAAGCACCAAACGGCTACGGTTATGGAAAGCTCGATTAGCGACCATGACTTGGTTTGTGTCACCTTAATATTGAAGAAGGCGCGCTCCAAATCCGTCTATATTGCAACCAGAAGTTTTAAACACTACAGTCCTGTTGATTTTAGCAACGACGTATCACTGGCACCATGGTCCATAGTTGATGTTTTCGACGATGTCGAGGACAAAATTTATGCACTTGATTCGCTATTTACTGAGATACTCGACCGCCATGCTCCAGTTAAAACCTTTAAAGCACGCTGTAAACCAAATCCATGCGTAACAGACAACATCCGCGGATTGATGAAGACCAGGGATGATTGGCGTAAGAAAGCAAAGAAAACAAATGATCCGCTATGTTGGACTGCCTACAGATATTTCAGACAGGAAGTAAAGAGGGAAATCAGAATTGCTGAACAGGAATTTGTTGCCGAACAAATCCAGAGGAATCCAAATAACACCAATAATATCTGGAAAGCAATTCGCCAGTGCATCCCCAGTAAATCTACATCTCAGCGAACATACAGTAAGAGCGAAAAAGCTGTTGCAGACGAATTTAATCAGTTTTTCGTATCTGTTGGTCAGAGCACTGTTGACAAAATTACGTCCCTGGCTAATGAATGCAACCTAACACTTAATCAGAATTATTTTGTACCGAGACAATACGCTCTCTCTGACCAG